GATGGGGGTCTTGGGGAGCTCCCCCGGTGCGTTAGCCTGCAAAGACGGCTATCAAGGGCTGTGATAAATAAAGCACAGTGGGCAGGGGGGAGAGACAGACTTTTAATTTGGAAGGTCAAGTCTGTCAAGGTGAACGCTGCCAAGCTGCAGCTTAATTATTAACTAGCCCGATTTCTGTTTGTATCAGCATCAGTACCTACTTTTCAATGCGGATTGCACCCTGGACTCCCTCCTGTCAACCCCAATTAAGCCTGATAAGGTCTGGCTATGCCCATCAAGAACAGGAGTTTGCCAGGATCTCCTGGGCTGCCTCCACCTCCTCCCTGGGAAGAAGAAGGTGGGAAGAGAAGGGTCCCCTAAACCCTGCCTACTCTGGCACACAGGTGTGTGCTACCATTGAGTGCTAGCAACCTATCCAGGCTACAGGAGCATGCACGGGCTGCTAAGGCTAGGCAAGCCGGGGCTGCTGGGCCAGGTGCTGCACCAAAGTGCTCTGCTCCGCGTGCCAGGGAGCCCACGGCTTAGAGAGGAGATGCTACAAGCAGGGGAGAGAAACAGGCCTGCTAAGATCAAAGGCTGGGTGGGAGGAATGAGACTGAAGTCCGCTTTTGCCCAGGCTGTAGCAATGGCCACAGCTGACACCCGCCAGGCGCTGGGCCCCGACACTTGCAGGAAGAGAGGAGAGGTTTTTGGTTAAACCGTTCCATGTTCTCACTTATTTTGCCTCATTCAGGGTCAGTTCAGACCCTTAAAGCTAGGACCGAGGAGGGGGCCAGCAGCTCCTACTTATGGTCCTGCCAGTGCCGTGCTCTGCAGCCCCACCAGCGCGAGAACAACTCGCAGGGCCGTCCTGGCACTCGGCCTGCAGCTATTTGCAAAGTGCTTTCCGACCTACGCATGATAGGCAGATTCTTGGGCTCAGAACACTGTAAGCAGATCCCTTCCTCCTCTGATTTCTTCCAGGGGAAAGGGGAGCACCGAGCACCACACCATGCACTGCTCCTGGAAGGCAGGTACTCCACGAGTGCTTCCTAGCTCAACCTCCTTCAGAGCAGGGGGGACCAAGTGGGAAGTGGCCGTTGCCTGTGGCCCTCTGGACATATCACAAACCAAAGTCAGATAAAGCCCATTTCCATGGGGTAATCTGGTGGCGACACCTTCTGCACTGAAACAGGCAATGGGAAGGCCCTGTAATGCCATTAGAGCGGTAGCTACCCATCACCCAGGCAATGCTGTAAGACTATCAAACAGCCACGGACCAGTTTGCATTCCCTGTCACTCGGTGAATAAATTGGATTAAAACCAGCAATGTATTCATGAAAGATTGCTATGAAGGCCATTTCACACCCCTCGAGCTATCTCATCTCCATCCATTTCTAGAGCGGGCATGTCTCTGCATGAAGGTCACCCCTTCTGGGGACTGCGCTGCTAGGAAGAAATTAAAATGACAATTAAAATGGGACTTTTTTTTTTTTGTTGCGGCTCAATAAAATATAACTCTGGCTAAACAAAGTAAACAGCGAGCCTGAGTGAGTTCCTCTCTCCGGAGCACTGTCAAGCCATCAGTCACAACTGGGGAAGACTGCTGGCTAAAAGACACTCTGGCTTTTGAGGTTAGCATATGGAGATGCCCTTTGCTGAAACGCAGGCACGCGCGCGAGCACTGGCAGCCTGGGCTGCTTTCTAAAACAGGGAGGAATTTGCTTACTTAGCCCTGAAAGCTATTTTTGAGGCGTGATACATCCCATATACATGGCCCAGCGTCCTTACCGCTCACTGGGCAATGCTGCGCATTCGTGAGAGGGAGACCAAGGCATGGGGCTGGGAACTGTGCAGCATTCCACTGCTGGCTCTGCCCTGGGACGGCAGCTGACGTGACCGTCCCCGACAGGCCACTCACTGGCGTCTCCGCTCCCTGGCCTCTCCCACTGCGAAGCGGACCCAGGAGTTTCAATGCATAAATAAAGAAACACATTCAGAAATATTTTCTTTCATCTGAGCGAATATGTGGCAATGAGGGTAGAGAAAGGGTCTTTAAATAAGGTTAGGTAAGATCTACTGTTTAGACAATTCCTCGTCCCTCTAAAGATCTGGACCTCCCGAGCACAAGAACTTGCAAGCAAAGGCCCTGCTCAGGCTTCCACTGACTTTTGCAAAGGCTGGAGCAGCTCGTCCACTGCTGCCAGCGGCAGGGACAACTGCAGGAGCTATGCACTTCAGTATTGAATATTTCCCTGTGTAAAGAGTATATGGAGAGAGAGATCATTGCCAGTGCCAAAACAAAAGGTTATGCATCAGAGAAGTTAAAAAAAACCCCAAACAAACCCAGCTTTGACTCTCAAGTCACTCCACAGCCACCCCATACCACTGCGGTCCTCTGCAGCCCCAACAGCCGGCACGGGACACTCGGCCAAGCAAGGCTTTCAAAAGCTTTGCACAGCCTTGCACCTCTGGCTCAGAGAGCCCGTTTTGAGGAAACAAATGCTGAGCTGAACCCACGCCAAAGGCTCTCCCCAGCCCGGTTACTTTGCCTTGTGTAAAATTCACAGCCCTGTCTTCCTGGGGAGGGCTCTGCAAGGTGGGAGTGGGCAGAGCCAGGATCTCCCATTTACACCTTGGAAAGTGCTGCTGGGGCAAGAGAGGAGTTTCCACTTGGGCTCATCCATCAGGGCACCTCAGGGCTTCTGCAAAGAGACATGGGGCCACCACAGGGAGTGGGGGCCGTGCTGCTGCTGGCCCCCCGGGGGGGCTGCCGAAGAGGTGCTGCGGTATGGCGAACGCCCCAGGGCTGGGAGGAAAGAGCCAGGGTGCCCAGCGGTCCCAGGGAGGCAGCCCTACGGAAAGGGGCAAAGCTGTGTGGGCTGCTCCGGGAGGGAGGGGACGAGGAGCGGGACCGACAGATTCCACTGAAACGTTCAATAATGCAGGGTTTTTTTACAAAGATTCCGGCACGTCCGTGTAATCTAAATCTAACATGACACGGACTAAACGAGGACGTCACTTCTCTCCCCGCTGATTAGCCGTGATTGCCGCTGAGTGACACTCCAGCACGTGCCTCTGCGGCGAGCGGGGCTCTGCCGGCCAAAGCACGAGCGGGGGCCGAGCCGAGAGGGCACCCTGGGGGCAAGGGGGGCACCCCAGGCTCCCCCCCCCACCTCCATAGCCAGAGAGCAGGCTTTTCTTTATTGACTGTAAAGCAACTTTCTATAGCTGGTGACCAAGTTCTCCAATAACAGCTGCCAAAAGCAATCAGGCTGGTTCACAACAGAGGGAGGAAAGTTATGTTATTTTAATAGAAATTATTTGGTTCCCGGGGTTCTGATCAAATTAGGCAGCTACTGAGTTAAAGCAATGAAATTACTGGGAAGGAGGCTGTGCTCAACTTATTTCCAGTCCTCCTGGACCTGAAGAAGTAACAAAGGAAAACGTCCAAACCGCTCCGAGGAGTTTTCTGTAAACACCCTAAGCTGATATTTGGGGACCTGGGGACTTCTGCCTGCCACTCACAATTTCCTAATCAGCCCGGCTCAGGCCACCCCCTGCGCAGCAGATTTGGCATCCTTGGAAAAGGAGGAGAGACTGAAGCTTGCGCAGCAGATGCTGCTCCTTTGATTTGCAGCACAGCTCAGGCGCGATGAACGCTTTCGTTTCCAGCTCTGCTTGCAAACCTGTCAGATTCGAGCTCCTCTCTGCACCCTGCATGCCCGCCCTCATCTTTTAACAAATGTTTCTTTAGTGCAAATTCAACTGTAATCATATCTAGAATTGAAGGAATAACAAAAATACAGGAGGCGTACATCACTCCGCAGTGGGCTAAGAGGAGACCGACATAACAGGGATCTTGGGCAAGGATGCGGGGGGCTCAGTATTAATACATGTAAAATCCAGCCATGGGGAGAGGAGATGAAGGGTGCAGAGCCAGAGCTGAGGGTGAGGAGGGAAATGGTGCTGATGCTTATCGTGCCCTGGTAGCACTGCCCTGGCGCTGGGTGCACCTCCTGGATCCCCCAGGACGGGAGGTGGAGAGCACCCGGCTGCACGCACCGAGGGGACGATGCATGGCCTGATCCTGCATGGGAAGGAGGCATCTTCTGCACCCTCACACACCCCAGGTGACACCACCCCATGTCCCAG